GGTCCAGCTGCCCCTGCTCCATCTTCTTGGGCAGGAGGGATGTAGGAGCTGGTCCAGCTGCCCCTGCTCCATCTTCTCGGGCAGGAGGGATGTAGGAGCTGGTCCAGCAGCCAACCATCCTCCACTGCCTGTGTGTGTTTACTGTCCGCTTCTCCTAGCACCAAGCGCCTGGGCCGCAGATGAGATGAAGCCTGGTGGGTGTTTTGTCTTCACGTCGTCCTCGGAGGAGGCTCTCCGGCTTCCTGCAGCATGGGGCTGCTGGGAGGCCAGTAGCATGGGTGGCTCCATGAGGGAAGGGGGCCGTGAAGGCAGAGGGCTCAGTCCTCTCTGCAGCCTCCTTCACTGGCTGTGGGGTCCCAGGCCCGGGGATCAGCCACTGTCTAGGGGAGGGCAGGGCCTCCCCGGGCTCACAGCTGCAGACCTGAGATCGTGAAGTGAGTACGGCCCCACCTGTACGGCGGCAAGCGGGGACACAGACAGTGAGCGGCGGAGGACACAGGAGACCTACAGGGAGCTTCTGGTCAGGCTTAGCCTGTCCTTTGGGAGGTCAACGAACAGCAAAACCAATCACTGCTCCCCTGTTCCTGCTGAGCCACAGATGGACGGACTGGGCTTGAGCAGTGTGCTGCGTGTCGGGTTCTTGGGGAGCTGGCCAGGGCAGGGGCCACAGCTGTTCCCGAACCTGAGCTGGTTCTACAGAGGCTGGTCCGGCCCAGCCTGGGCTGTCAAGTGGCAGTGCAGGCTGCTGCTGATGACAGGTCTGTTTTTCTGCACGTGGCTCTGAGTCTGTGGGACCAGAGGGGTGAGTCCCCTAGGAAAGCATGGTGCGGGTGAGAGTCGAGGTCACAGCCAGCCACGTGGGAAGAGGCGGGGCATAGACGGTCGGTGGGCTCTCTGTTACCTGTGGGTGCCCTTTTTCCTGTGTAGTTGTGACCCCTTTAGACCCAAGGTGGGTAAATGAACAGCCAGCTTGTTACGAGCAAAAGTGGATCTACTGGCAGATGTGTTTTCCCTCTTTCCTGTTTCTGTCACTCTGTTTTGTCCTGGTTTGTCTCCAGAGGAGCTTCTTGTCACACGGCGTGCTATGGAAGGTGTCTCAGGCAGGGAAGGGCGTGGGAAAGACTTGGTTTCGAGCAGTTATGTCCAAGCACGCGCTGGAGTCTTAACCCAAGGTTTGGGGCGGAACTAGCGTGGAGATTGGCCAGGAAGTAATGGGTTTTTAAAAGTTATCATTGCACATTGGAACTGGTGGTCCAGATTTCACCCAAGCACGTTTAACCAAGGGCGCTCACTAGACTGAGCTTGTCTTTTTTCTTTTCTCAAAGGACCAGGATTCCTAGAGTAAACAAATCTAGCCATGTTAGGCAGCCAGTGCTTTATGAAAAACGGGTGATCCTAAAGCCTAGGCTGTTAAAAGCTGATGTTTTCTGTTGCTGGGAGAAGGATGTTTTTGCTCTAAATGAAAGACGTGCTGGGGGTATTTCGGAACTTTGTTTTGGTGATTGTCCGTTTTGCCAACAACTAACATCTGTATTTATTTTTCAACCCTCCCCCCAATGGCTGATTTGCATCTGTTTAGTTCTCTGAGTAATATTTCATTTCCTGACTTTATAGGTTGCTATAAAATCCATTCGTAAGGACAAAATTAAGGACGAACAAGACATGGTTCACATCAGACGAGAGATTGAGATCATGTCATCCCTCAACCATCCTCATATCATCAGTATTTACGAAGGTCAGTGATGCCTCTTTTCACTCCCATATCGGTTACCATTTGTCATACCGCGGGGTCTTGCCAAGACTGTTATAGGTAATTGCCCCGCTGGGCAGGAGCCAAATACTTTCCTTCATGATGCAAAAATAGCCCAGTGTTATCTCTTACTTGGTTACCCTGAATGCAGCCAGACACATGTAGGGCAGCTCATTCGGGTCATAAAACGTTGCTGGCAGGCGCCTTATTCCATCTTCCAGGGTCCTCGGTGGTTGCCTAGCAACCTGTGTTAGTGAAAGCCATTCTGGGAGAGACAGCTGGGGACTCCGGAAGGTGGCAGCTTGCTGGGTGACCCAGTAACGGCAGATACATGGCTGCTGTCACTCCCTAAAGGGGACCGCTTTGCTGGGGGTGTGAGTTCCCAAGCGCAGTTCGTTGAGTTAGGCATGAACTCTTGAGCAGGCCCAGGCTGAGGGCCCGAGGTGCTGAGGAAGAGAGCTGGGGCCGCAGATGCTCTGCTAAAGGAGCCCAAATTCTAGCTCGTGTTTATAAAAGAGCAGGGCGGGGTAAAACTTATAAAAATGTTTCTGCTTCAGTTCAGCTCTTTGGTCCTTCCTGGGAAGAAACAGAAAGTATAAACCTCTCACAGCCTGTAATTTTTTTTTTTTAAATATCCTGCAAGAAATGACACAGGCAATGTGTGTGATTGAAATACTTGTGTTAAAATTAAAAAAATAATTGCTCCTTCAAGCCCTCCGACCCCATGTGTGTCTGTATCTGTATGTGGTTTTTACCCACAGTGAGATTACGCTGTTTATGCTGCTTTTCTTTTCATTTGTTACATCACGTACGTCTTCGTATGTCCGTAAATGTTGTTTGTAAAAACATTTAAAGAGGCTTCATAATATTTCATTTATGGACATACCGTGATTTATTGAATCTCATTCCTGTGGCCGAACATTTACATTGTTCCAAATTTCTGGCTGTTATGAAAAGGGTTTTATTGCTCTTCTTTCTGCAACATTTTCACAGTTATTTCTGAATATTTTCTTATGAAAAAATTCCTAGTCTTAGGCTTAATGAGTTGAAGTGTTTCCCGTGGTACTTTTGAATATGTGATGCCTACAGATAAATGAACCTATTTTTAATTTCTGAGGGAACGCTAAGGGGTTATCCAGTGGGGGCTCAGAAACCAGATGGTGTTTAGCTTTCTCCATCTTTGTCTAACATCCCTGTTCTTTGCTGCTTGTGTTTTTGCTTCTTACCTAGAAGTAAATATTGGAATATCTTCTCTTTTATCCCAGTCTTGCTAAGGCTCATTTTTGGAGCCCTTGACGGTATAGAATGTTTGTGGGGAACTTTAATTCTTCCACCATGGATTCCTTTACCAACAGCTCTTGCAGTGATTCTCAGAGTGCAGCGCCTGGGCCAGCAGCAGCAGGTGGGGATGCCTGGAAAGGCAGATTCTCCGGCCTCACCGTGGCCTGCTGAACAGGAGCCTGGGGCAGGCCGGGCAGTCTGTGCTTTACCAAGTTTGAGAATCTCCCATGTGCTGGCTGTCTGCTTGCTGCCGAGCAATCTTCAGATCAGCTCATGCGATTACAGATGAGTGTGGTGTGGATCCCAGGACTAGGAAGCACACAAGGGGCAGTGTGGAGAGGTATTGTGCAGCCATGCAAGCAGCAGAAACGGGGACCCCGCAGGCCTGGGGCGTGGACATTTTCATGGAGATGCGTGGTGTCTGGGCTGGCATAGAGGAGGCTTTTTTGGGGGAGGAGTCAGCAAGCATCGACTTCCATGCTGATAAATCTGAGTATGCTGGAGAGTAGAGGGAATTTCTGAAAGTCACCAGCAGTGAGAGGTTTGGAATGTGGGGCGAGACTGAGTTTATTAAATTCTGCGGGTTTTGCTGCAGGTGGCCTGGTTACTGTGGAGATCTGAAGGCCAGGGTGACGATGAGCTATGTGGTGTGGACTGTGAGGGTCATGTGCTGTCTGAGCACTGCTCTGAGCTTTGCTGGCCCAAACAGGAGCTCTCTGAGGAGGGCAGCGAGGCCACCCCCAGCGGAAAGTCTCCAGCTTCCTTCTCGGGAGGCGGTCTGGAGCAGCCGAAGTCCGGCATGCAGCAGCTCCTGTGCCAGCACCATGCCCTCTTTGGGACCCAGGCGGGAGGAATGGGGAACAGGAAACTGACCCTCTGCCGAAGCGCCAGCCAGAGATGACCCTCAGTGGAGGACATTCTGCTACAGGGTCAGGGTGGCTCCAGTCCAGCCCTGCTGGAGGTGTCAAGAAGCAGAGAAGCTCTCGCTTTACAACCTTAGAGATGTGTACTGTGTGGGTTAAAGTATTTTTGGTGACTAGAAATAATTTCTCTTAAGGCCTCAGGTGGGGGCTGGGGCCTGCATTTGTAAAGCAGGCTTTGGGCGATCAGGGAGGAGCTCGAGTCTGCATGTCAGACAGACGTGGGGTTCAGTCCCAAGTCCGGGGACTTTGTGCAAGAAGGTGCCCTCCGTAACCACACCTGCCCTCCTGCAGGACTCGCGATGGGGTTCAGCGGCACAGCACTGTCCGGATTAGCTCAGGCTCACGACTAGGAGGACACTGTGGTCACGATGTTTCAGGGCTCAGCGGCACGGTAGCCAGGGGGTACTCTACTGGGCAGAGTGGATCTAGAACATTTCCATCGCCGCAGAGATGCCTCTGACACAGTGCTGCTGTGTTGTGTTTCATGCACCTGTGTGGGTTGGTTTCTTTCTGGGGAGAAAGTGCGCAGCTTTTACCAGACTCCCTGAGGGATTCCTGGCCACCAATAGGTTAAAGAGAATTTGCTGGCTTGTAAGTGTTTTGTGACCGGCAAGTTCCATACAAATAAAAATCGGGGTGTTTACCTGGAAAACTCCTAGGGTCTTACATGGGGTCTTTTGTCCTTTTTAATTTCCCAGAGATCACTGGTTTCTGTTCCGTTGCGTTTCCCTGCTCCCACACAAGTTCTGTTCCTCCACACCCACTGAGTCGCCGTGGAGGAAGGCAGCTCCCTCCCTTTCCCGAGTTAGCAGCAGGAGCTCGCTGAGGCTGCGTTCCAGCTCTCACCCCTCCGCCTGGGACCCCCAGCGCCCCGCCCCATGACTGTGGCTGCGTCACTGCCCAGGACCCCGAGATCCTGTCTGCAGGGGAAGAAGTCCCAGAACTCTGACAGTGTGCAGAGACCTCCCACCCTCGTTCCACTTGGTCCCCAGCGAACCTGTGAGCTGGGCGGCCAGCGTTTCCCGTTGCGGGTTGGGGAGACAGGCTGCAGAAGGCTAAGGACTCTCCTGCGCTGGTTTGCTAGGACCCTGCAGCAAGACCGGGGAGGGAGACAACAGGCATCTGTTCTGTCGCACTTCTGAGGGCTGGAAGTCTGGGATCCAGGGGACAGCAGGTGGCTTCCTTCTGTCCGTCCAGATTTCCTCTTTTCACAAGGACACTGGTCCTGCTGGCTTAGGACCCATCTAGTGACCTGACCTTGACTTACTGATCTCTTTGAAGACCTGTTTCAAGTGGACTCATGTTCTGGGGTACTGCGGGTTAGGACTTCACTGTGACCTTGGGGGGGTGGACAGGTCAGCCCGTCACACAGCTCGCTGGTGGCCCCGACACCTGGGCCTCCCGACCCCATTTGCTCTTTGAGCACGCCCCAGTCCTGCATTTCTGTCTGGACTTGGGTCTCGTGTTGCCGCCTCTGCCTGGCCTTTCTCCCCTGAACTGCTGCCCTGGCATACCCTACAGCACAGTGGCGGTGGTGACAGGGACCAGGATCTGTGAGCCGCTCCACCCAGAGCCTGAGCGAGTGTAGAATGCCTTAATTTGCCGAGTGGGAAATCAGTGCAGAGGCCCTTAAATGGCTCTTTGGACATTAGCCAAGTGAATAGAAGCTATTAGAGAACTTTGCAATTTCTTCTTCAGTAAGGACCTTTATATTTACACACACACACACTTGCACGCAGCAGCAATAGCAGCACATGACAGAGCAGCAACCTGCCCAGCCCTGTGTGTTTAGGAAGTTTGGGTGTTCGGGAAGGGAAGGTCTGGAATACCAGCTCCAGAGAAGAAGCAGTTCATTCATGAAAGAACACTAAGAAGTACCTGCTGTGTGCGGAGTCTCATTTTAGGCAGTGGGAATGCAAGGGCAAACAAAACAAGTCCCATCTTTCTCAGAACTGGCATTCAACAAAGTAAGCAGATAAGGTGGCCCGGGGAAGCATTTCTGACTGGTGTGTTTGTAGAAACTGATTTTTGAGCTGAGTCCTTAGGGAAATAGGGCCTACACCCTTCAAAGAACTAAGTCTTCTAGGCCAGGGAACACATGCGCATGTGCTCATAGGAGGGACAGAACTTGTGTTGGCAGAAATGTGTGTTAGTCAGCTTTCCCGTTGCTGGGATACAGCACTGACACCTACAGCTTAAAAGAGGAAAGATTTGGCTTACAGTTTCAGGGGATTGAGTTCATGGTTTACTGGCTCCAAGGCAGAAGTACCACGGCCAATGGGTGTGGCCGAGCAAAGCTGCTTAGTTCACGGTAGCCAGGAAGCAGATCAGGGAGCAGTGCCAGATACTACACCATACACAGTGTCTCCATGCCCCACCCAGGTACACCCAGAAGTAGATTTTACTCACCCCCTGAGCAGCTCCTGAGCCAGTGGAGTTGGTATAATTAAGGTTTCTATCACAAACTTGACAGAGGACCTGTGAAGCTGAGGGAGGGGTGAGTTGGAGGGTGGAGGAAAGAAGGGGAGCGACCATGTCTTGGCCATGTTAGGTAAAGGGAGAAGTGTAGTTTCTATACCAAGTACTATGGGAAGTTATTGGAAGGCTCTAGGGAGCATGTAATTTTTTTTTTTTACACTTGAGAAAATTACTAATAGTGTGGGCTGGGAATATAGCTCAGTGGTACAGCACCTGCCTGGCAAGCACAAGGTCCTGAGTTCATTTTCGGGTACCGAAAAAAGAAATACTAATAGCTAGGAATTAGTGAGTGCTTACCCTGTG